ACTTACTTTTGTGTGTCCTGGGACACACTAAAGCTTATTCTCTAATTCCACCACCAGCTGTAGTGTCTGGCAATATTTAGACCATATATGTGATACAAACTTGGGTGTCTAGTGTATTTTAAAACTTTTGTGTGTTTGTTGTGTTTTCTTTCCCAGCAATGTTATTAGAGAAAAAGTTAAGTCTTTTCATCGATACTGCTCAGGGTACTGTCCCGTTTCCATCAGGTGCCGTGGAAATGCTAGCTGACTTATTCACCAGCATAACCTGATGTGATGGGTACTTCGGTTCACAAACACGACTTTATTCACAATTCTGACAGCAAACTGAGTTGGACTAGAAATGAATCGGACTCAATGCAATGCTTAGACAAGGGAGGAGAGGGGTAGTGAAGGAAGAGAAAAAAAGAACAAAAGAAAAAAATGAAAACAAAGCTTTTGTAAATGAGAGAAAGAGGGGTTGAAGGGAGAGAAGAGTAAGAATCAAAAAATACTATGTACAGGTGAATTCCTGTGATGAATGTGATCATTATGTGTATCTAAAATGTACCCATAAAATCAGTTTTAAAAATTCAGTGGTGATCTTATGGGGAAAACTGATTTGGTCCTTGTCCAATTCAGCTTTGTGACCAGAAGTATGGAGAGAACTGAGTTCAGGAACCAAAGCACCACTGTACCAGTTTCCAATATGGTACACTTAACATGTAAGTAAAAATCACCAAGATCACCCCATCAGTCAAGCCAAAAAAACTCAATTATTATAGATTTTTCCAGGACATGCCTCATTCAATCCAACTAGAAGACGCGTTGTTTGCAGCTGTAAAGTACACCTTGAATCTACACGCTTTCCCCTGCACCTTATACTTCCGCGTAGTCCAAGCTGTCTAAACTTCCCTTGCCCAGCAGTTCTCCCCAAAGGTCAAGCTCCCTCACAAATCAGCACCCCTTGAGAGAACATCCTCCCCTAAAGCACCCCCATCCTCACCCTGTGGATTTCCTTCTTTTAACATCCTCTTTGATTGGTAATTATCTTTCCCTTTTTTCAAAACTTGTTTACCATCCATCTCCTCACACACAAGAAAATAACTCCTTGAAAAGCCCTTCTGGGGGCTGGGGATTTAGCTTAGCGGCATAAGTGCCTGCCTTGCAAGTGCGTGGTCTTAAGTTCGATCCCCGGTGCCGATAAAAAAAATTAAAAAAAAAAAAAGAAAAGACCTTCTGTCTGGCTCATCTGTGTATTTCTAGCATCTAGCACAGTACCTGCCTATATGAGTAATTAAATGCCTGAAAGCCAAAGAAAACATGCAGATTCAAATGAATCTGAAAGAACAGAAGAATCAGGCAATGATGGTACAGATCTGTAATCCCACATTCCAGGAGGCTGAAACGGGAGGATTTTAAGTCCAATCCTTGCATTAGCAATTTAGTAACTTATCAAAGGAATCTGTCTCAAAATAAAAAAATAAAAAGGGCTGAGTCTAAAACTTCATGCAAAGCCTAGGGCTTAATCCCCAGTACTGCAAAAATAAATAAAAGGGAACCAGGCTGGTGGTAGTATATTCCCACCTTAATCTTTCCTCATAACCACAGAATCTGAGAGCTTGAAGGACCTTATGCACTACCTTGCCACTTTTTAGGTTTAAGCACAATGTCAAACACCCCCCTACACACACACACACACACACACACACACACACACACACACACACAGGTTAATCGTGTAAGCCAGTTGGGGAACAAAATGGTCATGATATAAAAAATTAATATATCGAAGTGTTTGCTTAATGTTTTGTCTGTACATATATTTAATGCACTAGCTTTGAGAAATTTATATTAATTTAATTAACCTGCACATTACTTTGCATTTCACATCTTCATTGAAGCATAAAACTGCTCCTGAGGTCACAATTAGAACAAGGACTGGCACATAACATGCAAAAAACATCCATTGAGGGGCTGGGGATTTAGCTCAGCGGCATAAGCACCTGCTTTGCAAGCAGGCAGTCGTGAGTTCGATCCCCAGTACCAATAAAAATGAAAAAGACAAAAAAAAAATCCATTGTACTATATTTTATTCTTATCACTAGCGAACTGCAATATTTAAAAGAAGCAATGAACCAAGGCCTTTTTTCTGTGCAACTGACTCTCCTTTTTGCTGCTATATAGATTTTACAATGAAAAAAAAAATATTTAAAGACAACAGGTCTACAGAAAATATAACTCTGAAGAAAATTTTAGTAAGACTCTGGTATGTGGTAGCAGCAGTGAATTAGGTGAGTCAGCTGCAGGACCCCTTAGAAAACACTGCAGAAAAGGGCTAGGTCTGGAGAACTACAGAGTCCTAGTGGAAAAAGGGAATCCTAGGTCAACCTGGGTGAGGGGAAGACTCCCTGAACTCTGTCTGGATTCAATTCTCTAAATCTGAAATCAACACATGGCTTGAATTGCAATCATTTTGTAAAACAGAAGTGTTATACAAGTTACAAAATTATGATAAAAACATCTGTAATTTCCAAAGTGTGTATCTAAAGTAGAGTCTGAACTTTATTTCAAAGAGAGAACACAGTTTAGGGAGGTGGCTCAGTGGCATGGTGCTTGACTTGCATGCATGAGGCCATGAGTTCAATTCCCAGTGCCATAGAGGGGAAAAATTGAGAACATGAAAAGGTTTAAGGTCCTTAATATAGCTGCTGATGGAACTATCTTCTCAGATTTCCCTGGTTTATGGTCCGTTAGGCCTAAGTTAATGTGAAATGTATTTTAAGAACTGAGAGTCTGACTATACACAAACTAGTAATGGATGTAGTGATAGCCAACCTTGGCTTGCAATACAATTAAAATCTATTTGATTTTAGCTTTATCCCAGCCTTTAGAAGGCAAAGAAGTAGAAGCTTCCTCAAGGTCATTTCTGGGTTTTTTTGTTTGTTTTGTTTGGTTGTTTTTTCAGACCAGGTCTTGCTATGTAGCCCAAGCTGGCCTGGAACTCACAGTGATAATTCTGCCACAGCCTCCTGAGTGCTGTAATTACAGGCTTTAAGATCTTTGCTGTCATTAGCAAACCTGTGTCTATGATTGTGACTGAGAATCTTCAGACCATAACTAAACTATATTAATAATAGTTTGAGTTTACTGAAAACATTTGCGTATTTGCTTTCAAATATAGTTAAGTACTCTTGTTCTTGGTGACAATCTGACTTATCTGGGAAAACACATCTATCAGTGCAGTGTCACAATGTATGATTTCAGAAACTGTCAACATATGCCTCAAAGTAATTCAGTACTTTGAAATAAGCAAATGAAAAAACTGGTTGACATTAATAAAAACCAAAGGAAAGTACAACATTAGACTGTTTCTAAAACTCCAGTATAAATTGGGCGAGGTGGCACACGCCTGTAATCTCAGTACTCAGGAGCCTGAGGCAGGAGAATCACTGTGAGTTCAGTATTAGCTGGGGATACACAGTGAGTCCAAGGCCAGTCTGCAACACACAGTGAGACACTGTCTAAAAGTAAATAAATAAATAAATAAATCTAATACAAAACAAAAAAGCAGGAATTATGTAATAATACTATTTGAAGGATTGTATCTTTAAACAAAACTATTTAAGAACTATGCCTAATTTTTTAGGCAATTATATTTATGGCAGAGGCCTTAAAGTCCATTGAGAATTTTTCACAATATGGGAGAATGAAATAAAATTTGAACATGGTTACTTAACTGTGGAATAATGTTGATTTGCAACATCTGGCAACATCTGTTCAATATACTTCCAAGTCCATGAATTTCCTCCTGGTAGTACCTAACTTGAACAAGCCTGCTCCTGCTCAGGATCTTTGGGCACAGAGGGGTAACAGAGGCTAGGAACGAACGGGGCTGGGTAAAGGGTTTATAATGCCCATTGTTTTTTAGAGTCAATAAATGTTCTGGAAAGAACATGAGTTTTTGACTCAAAAGCCTTGAGTCTGGGGCCTAATACCCTACCTCAAAAAGCTGGGTGTGGTGGCACATGCCTATAACCCCAGCACTCAGGAGGGTTCATGCCTGAACTATTTAGCAAAACCTTGTACCAAAAAAGAAAGAACTAAGAAAGAAAGAAGATAACTGCGTAATTTTTTTCTCACATTTCAAACGATGACTAAAACTGATCTCCACGGAGTGTGTTTCTGGTGTTCACTAACAGTGTAAGTAAACTACCAAGTATGGATCCTACCACAAAGCATCTGCTCATTAAAGGCTGGTTTTCACACCCTCTCTTGGTAGTCTACCATTGCTTTGCGTGGTTCCAGATTTCACATTTCCTGCCAAATAACGTCACACAGCTCACTGCATCATGAGGTTACAACTTTAAATCCAAAGGGGTGCGATGTGCCAGTAACTCTTCCCAGGCCTGTGGTTTCATAGACCAGCATTTCCAGGCCCTTCTGGTATGGTTAGTGCAATGTATCTGCCTGACATCAACCCTCTACATTTCTGGCAGGAGAGAGCCAGAGTCAGAAAAATTCAAAAAGCCAAAGAATCCAAGATTTGCAGACCATCTCGGTAGCATCTGTGGGGAGCTACATCATGCGTTCTGGAGCAGGAAGGAGCTGGGGCTGGGTGGAATTCCAAGGCCCGTGCTGCGAGCTGCACTCTGCGACCCTGGCAGCCCAGAAAGAGCTCAGCTTCAGGCTACATCCTCGCATCCTCACGGCGGGCGGGTGGCGCGGCGCCTGCAGAGCTGCGTGCTCTGGGGGACACCGCCCACGCGCGCCTCCGCTCGCACCGTGACCCAGAGGAGGGAGGCTCCGTCCCGACTCACTTCCTGCAGGAGGGAGGAAGGACATCTTGCCTCAAGGAGGCTAGGGAGCCTGCACCCCTGGAGATGTGGGCCTGGGATCGCGGCCCGGGCCCCGGACCGCCCAGCCTGGGAGCTGCCTCGGAGGCGAAGCCAGCGCGCCCCCGGCGCTCCGGCAGGATGATGCGGGAGGCGCAGGGCGCGCGCAGGCCGCTCGGGGTCACCCACCTTTCGTACTCTGCGGGCCGTGTAGAGCCCCATCCCGTCCTGCACCCGGGAGGACTTCAGGGAGAACCTGTCCGGCACGTACATGCCCAGCATGTTCCTGGACGCGCGGCCGCTTTGCGCCCGCGGGGCGATACCTCGAAATTTGGGGTGCTGGGGCTGGCCGGGAGAAGCCGGCGGGGAAGGAGGAAATGGAGTTTTCCTCCCAGAATCCCCACCTCCCCGCCGATTCTTCCAGGATCCCCCGCGGCTCAGCCCCTCCTCGTCCCGGGTCGGGCTCGGCCCGGAGCCGCCGCTGCCATTGCCGCGCGGGGCGCGGGGGGCGCGGGCCGGGGCGCTGCGGGCGCGGGGACGCCGCGCGCTGATTGGTCCGAAGTTGGCGGCCCGACCCGCGTCTGGGCGCGGAGCCTGGGGCTGGGCGCACCGGAGCCGCCCGCTCGCACCCCCGGGCGGGATCTGCTAGCCTTCCCGCGGTAGTCCAGCCCGGGCCTGAACCCCCGCCCCTCAGTTGTGCCTTCCTTGCGCCTAGCTTTGCCGCTCGCTTCAGTTGCAAAACGGGACGCGGCTGGACGCTTCCTGCAAGACAGCATGACTCCCAAAGCGGGCCTGTTGCCGGACTGCAGTACAAGATTCCTGCAAGTCCAGGAAATTCCGTGATTCCCACGTTAATGTTGTGCATCCTTGTGCTCTGTGTCCTTCCTCCGAGGTTTGAACCCATAGAGGAGCAGAAAACCGGAGGAAATGCACAGCCTGCAACTGATGTTTTTCAAGCTGGAAATTTATCTCGAATAATTTAAGCATTATTCAAAGCAATATGTACCCAAACTAGAAATGTCATGGTAGTGACAGCCCCAGGAAGTTATAACCCTTCCCAGGACACCCTAGACCCAAGTCTTCCCTTGGCTGAAAATCACAGAGCTCTTTTACCACCTTGGACAAGGCAGATGGGAGGGGCTGCCCAAATAGAAGCTGGGGTCCAGCATTAATCAGGCCTCAAGTCTCATTTTAGTGTTTTAATAGTTCTTAGGTCGGACAGAGTGTTCAAAAGGAGCTTAAGGTTCCATTGCATCCTTAAAGCATGATCCCTACTCATTTATCTTGATATTTTTTATAATTTTCTACCGGGAGGTTTTTTTGGGGGGGGGGGGCTATCTGATATTCTAAACCATTAAAGACACACACGTGATTTTGACATCATTAAAATAAACACCACGAATTGTACTCTGTTTCTTCAGGATTAGGAGAGCCTTCCTCAGAAACACTTCCTAATTAGAAGACTGTGGTTTAAAATTAGAAAATGGCAAAGGAGCTGGGCGTGTTGGCACATCCCTGTAATCCCAGCACTCAGGAGGCTGAGGCAAGAGGATTGCTGTAAGTTCAAAACCAGCCTGGGCTACAAAATGATTTCAAAGCCAGCCTGAACCACATAGTGAAACCTTGTTTCAAAAGGACAAAAATAAATAAATAAATAAATAAATAAATAAATAAAAATAAAAATGGCAAAGGAAGAAAGCAAAGATGTGTGATGTAATGCAGCACACGTGTAACTCCAGGTTTGGGGAAACTGAGGCAGGAGGATTTACGAGAATAAAAATAGTGAGTTCAAGACCAAAACTACTAGGAAGACTGTGCCTCAAAAAGGGGAAAGAAAACAAAAAGATAGGAATTTATTACAGCAGGAAAAAAATGTAGAAATGTTTGAAGATTTTAAGGAATAGACTGAATCTTTTTAAGAAGTGTAAAAATACTTTGCCAGGGAAGGTAGTGACAATGTTTTAATGACAGAGCGTTGATCCCTTTCACTTGCCATAAAAGATTTTATCTTGTCTCTGTGCAGAGAAATGAATTAATAAGTAAAAGGCTAAATTTGGGAGAACTTGGAATTAGATAGCTTTGAAACAGATAGTAAGGGTTCAATAAGTATTTCTGGAATGAAAATCACTTTTGAAGCCATCTGAGATTGCTAGTCCGTGATGAGTCTGAACTCATTTTGCTTTTTGTGGTGTCTCACAAGATCTGCACTAAGTAGGTTTTGTACAGGGTCCTTTGAGCTGCAGCTGAAATCCAGCCAGACCAGATCCACTGGGCCCAGCTGGAACCAGACCACTATCCCGAGGGTGGGGCACTGGCACTGTCCCCAGGCATTCAGCATTTTGTGAGACACAGCCTTTCTTATGGCCTCCAGCCCAACTGAGTTCTCAGTCAAATGGCCTGCCCTGTTCCTTTGGGCACAGAAGTTTCCACAGCTCTTGATCATTAGGAGAAAAAGAAGTATTTTTTTGCACAGCCCTCATTCATGGATGACCCTTGCTGTGGCACGCAGTGTCTTTTGGTGCTGTTTCTGAGGAAGGAGGGTGCCACCTTCAGAGTCCTCATCTCCCTGAATGTAAGCATGAGTGATTAGGAAATGATAAAAATACATAGATAAATTTTGATGGTTAAATCTAAAATTATAAAGTGAGAAACTGTCCAAATCTTTATGAATCTTGCTCAGAGATTTGAAATAATGAAATGGGAATGCATTTCACTGAAGTATGCATCGTTCTTTTTAGCTATCAAATGTAGCAATCTTGAATATGTACCTAAAACATGGGAACCTGGGATGAAAAGTTTTTTGTAATAAGTTCTACGACAACACATAAAAAATGATGTGTTTGCCAAATCAAAATGAGCAATACTGACCGGATATTTGATTTTGAAGCCTGTGAGATAGTGGCAGTATAATGACTCATTTCTGAAAACTTTAAAAGCTTAAGTGACCTTTCAATATTATCTTTGAAAAACGGGAAATTAAAAGTCTGCTTTATATCAAAAGTTTAAATCCAGTCTTAAAAGAAATAAAATCAAAAGGCTGATATTTAAAGTTCGATCATGCACCTGACTTACTTATTCTAGAAAATATTGCATTATTATGACACAAGAAAAAAATATTCCAAACATATTTCTCCTTATTTTCAAATTTGCTTTTGGAAGATTTTTTTCCTGCAGATATGCATAAAGTAAACTCTCCCTACTGAACTTAAACTTATGTACTTTATGTATACTTTGTTTTTTTTTATTCAAGGAAGATTTGAATTATAATTCTATATTAATGATTTTACCACACACACTATTGAATTCTTTTGATTGTACAGTCAGTTATTAATGACTGTTTCTAAGTGCCAAGGTAGGATAAAAGCCTTAGAGAAAAGAAAGAAAAGACTAAGTTTATTTATTTTAAGTTTCTTGAGTCAGAGATATTTTGTAGTGAAGGACTACAAATCCAAATTTGCAGAGCAGAAAAGAATAGTTTTTTATAACTCAAAAATAAAAAGGGAAAGAAAAGAACAAGAAGAAATCTTTTAAAATGAAATAAAGTGGTGTCCAATTATTTCTCTGAAATCGCCTCCCATGGACATTGATTTTGCCATGGCTGAGCCAACAACAGTTAGGCTCTTGGGGAAGAATTGCCAGGTGTGCACCCCTTAGTAAGCAGCAAGCAGCTACATTTCTTGAAGATCACAGTTTTGCGCAGGACAAGTCCATGTGGACAAAAGATGTGGCACAGACAGAAAAGTGCAGGGGGAACAGAAAGTCACAGCACAGAGGTCAAAGCACAGAAAAGTAGCCACAGCAACAGAGTCTGGTAAGTCAGGCTTTCGAATTTAAAGGCCCAGGGCCTTACCAGACTCTGTGCCTTGTCTGATTTCTTCTTTAATTTCATCTGTGACCCATTGGTTGTTCACAGGTGAAATTAAAGAAGGTGTTATTTAATTTCCATTTTTTAAAATGCAGTTTCATGGTTTCTTTTGCCATTGATTTCCAATTTCGTTGCACTATGGTCTGATAATACGTGAGATGATTTCAATTCCTTTGCATTAATTTAAGCATACTCTATGAGCTAGTCTGTAGTCTATGTTGAAGACATCCCACCCACAAGTGAAAATAATGTGTATTGTGAAGTGAGATAGAATACTCTGTAGACATCTACTAAGCCCCTTTGTTTGCAGGTTTAGTTCAGTTCTGATGTTTCTTTGCTGATGTTTTGTCTAGTTGATCTATTTATGAAAGTGGAGCATTAAAGATCCTCCATTAGAATTGTGTTAAAGCTTTAATTCTTCATGTCCATTAATATTTGTTTCATAGTTGGGTGCATGGTATTTGATGCATATATATTTATTATTGTTATCTCTTCTTGGCATTTTCCCTTAACAATATGTAGTGACCTTCTTTGTTTCCTTTGTTCAGTTTTGCCTTGAAGTTCACTTTGTCTGAAGAGAATAGCTAGTGCTGCTTTTGTTCTGGGTTCCTGTTGCGTGAAGTATTGTTTTCCATCCTTTGACTTTCCGGCTATAAATTTGTTTTTGAGTTAAATGTATTTCTTGTATGCAGTACATTGTTGGAGCTTGCTTCTTGATCCATTCTACCAGTCTGTTTCTTTTGATTGGTGAATTGAGACCAAAGGAAATAGGGAGGGAAAAGCAGTAAAGGAAGAAAGGGAAAGATTAGAAAAGAAGGAAAAATGAAACAAAACTTTTGTAAATAAAGAGAAGAAGAGGGAGTTGAAAGGAGGTTTGGGAAATGGGAAAAAAGAATCAAGGCGTATTATGTACAGGTACAAATTCCCTATGATGGATGTGATCATTATGTATATCTAAAATGCCCCACTAAACTTAATTAACTGAAAAAAAAGAACATGCAAATGTAACAGAAAGAAGGCTTAAATAACATTACATATGTGTGCATGTGTGTGTTCAGGTGTTATCAGTTTCCAGCTAAGCCAATTTCTGACATAAGGGTCTGAAAAAAATAATTTTCAGACTTTACAATTAGGTTTCAACAAGTACAAATAATAAATATTCCTGGCAGTACTGAATTCCTTTTTGTTGTTGTTGTTCTTTTGCTTTGTTCTGTTTTTAGTCTTATAAACCAAAGATATCTATTAACTGAATCAAGGCTGAAGACAATCACTCTTTTATAACCAAGACGGCATGAGGTGTCCTCAAAAGAAAGTTTTAAAAGCAAAGAACTGAACACAAAGCAAGATAATCAGAAAAGAAATGACTATTCCTGAGACTGAAAAGATGAAGAGCTCCAAACTAGGTTTAACCTGAGGGTTAAAAGGACAGTACATGACTCTTGTGCTAATATAGATTTGGAAAAGAGGGAATCTTCCTTAATCAAATACTCACTGAAGACAGGTTGTCAGAGCTGACCTTGTTCAGTCTTATGGCTTGGATCTAAAATGATCATCAAAGGTCATGTGTTGAAGGCTCTGTTACCATCCTATGGCACTACTGAGAGGTGGAATC